CCCCAAAACCCCAAAACCCCAAAACCCCAAAACCCCTTTCGATTAGGATAGAATTGAAACTCCCAAATCACAAAATACCACAAAATACCACAACATTCTCCATAAAATTGTTCAAAACTTCATTATCTCCACTCTAGACCTCTGTAGGTTCCAAATTTTAGAAAACCACACATCCTGAAGTGCAGCTAAAACACTGAGTTTCTATAATAAACATCAGCTAAATTTTCATTTTCCCCCAAATACACAGCTATCCCCCCAAAATATGACTAAATCCGTTACCAGGTTTCTTCCTTCTCTCTGTGACACCGACCTTAGACAAGTGAATAGAGCATTCGTCGAACTCATCAGGTGGGGCCCTATTTCAAATCCGTGTTGAAATAAACCTCGATGCTTGAATTTGTTAGTTTTGTATCAGGATTGAGCAGAAGTGAGCTAGCCCCACTAAGTCTTTTGGTTGAGCGCCTGAAGAAAAGATAGTTATTGTGTGGGCTTAGATAGGGGATTTTGGGGGTTTGGGGGAAGTGAACATACCTCTGTTTTTCAATTTGCTGATCGACTGGCATTACGAAGTCTCTGATGTCCTGTAATGGGCATTTTGGTGTTTGGAAATGAGGACTTGGGTCTAAGGGATTGGTGAGTGGAAAGGAAGGTAAGGAAGGGGAGATAGAGGGGATTGGGGCTGTTTGAGGGTTGAAGAAGGAGGGGTTTTAAGTGAATTTGAGTGCTGTGAAATAACTTTTAGGGTACTTAGAGGATGTATTTGGAGATACGAAGCTTTGTGATAGTCGCAAGGTAGAAAGGAAAATATGAATTTTGAAATATTAACATCAATGAATTTTGCTTTTAATTGCAATTACCTATTTCTTTCTTGTCGATCCCATTAACCTCTCCTTGCTCTTTAGCATTAAGCAAAAGATTTTCATGGTTCTGTGATTTTTTATCATGGCTGGTTTGAGCTTTAGCCTTCAAGTAACTTTCATTCATCATATAATATCTTAAATGACAAAATAAATAAATCAATAATCTCAAATTCCCAAGGGGTTTTGGGGTTTTGGGGTTTTGGGGTTTTGGGGTTTTGGGGTTTTGGGG